CACATGCCTGTGATTCTGGCTACTCAGGAGCCTGAGGCAGGAGGATCCCTTGAGCCTAGTTCAAGCCTGCATTGAGGTATGGTCTCATTTCGCCACCACACTCCAGCCTGGGCAACATGGCAAGAACTTGTCTCGATTAAAAAAACACACATGGCCAGGTGCGGTGGCTCATGCCTGTAATCCCAGCACTTTGGGAGGCCGAGGTGGGCGGATCACGGGGTCAGGAGATGGAGACCATCCTGGCTAACACGGTGAAACCCCGTCTCTACTAAAAAAAATACAAAAAATTAGCCGGTAGTGGTGGCAGGTGCTTGTGGTCCCAGGTACTCGGGAGGCTGAGGCAGCAGAATGGCATGAACCTGACAGGCGGATCTTGCCATGAGCTGAGATCGTGCCACTGCACTCCAGCCTGGGTGACAGAGCGAGACTCCTTCTCAAAAAACAAAAACAAACAATCCAAAAAATAAACCACACACACACACACACAAAAACATCCCACACACCTAACCTAGGAAGTTATGCTTGTGGTAAGATCGAGTAAGTCAGGTTTTCTTGCTTGTGGCTGAAATGTAATAAACCCTTTCTGGTCACTTTGAGAGCCTTGACCAGAAGTTCTGACCTAGTATTTAGCAAGTGAAAATGGGAACACAAATAAATGCACTTAGGGGGCTTATGGTGAAAACATGATAAAAGGGATTGGTAAAAAATTAGGAGACATTCTCATCCATTTTACAGACATGTAAACTTTCCCAGTCACACAGCAAGGTGATGATAGAATGCAGAATGGAACTCTAGGCCCCCAATTCTGGAGTTTTAAAAAATATAGTGTATATAAAATATTTTAGACACACAGGCCAGGCAAGGTAGCTCATGCCTGTAATCCCAGCACTTTGGGAGGCTGAGGCAGGTGGATCACTTGAGGCCAGGAGTTTGAGACCAGCCTGGCCAGCATGGCGAAACCCTGTCTCTACCAAAAGTACAAAAATTAGCCATGTGTGGTGGCGTGTGTGCCTGTAATCCCAGCTACTCAGGAGGCTGAGGCATGAGAATTGTTTGAACCTGGAAGGCAGAGGTTGCAGTGAGCCAAGATCGCACCACTGCACTTCAGCCTGGGCGACAGAGCAAGACTTCATCTCAAAGGGAAAAAAAAAACCAAAAAAAGAAAAACAAACATATTTTAGACACACACAAAAAGCATAAAAAATAATATAATACACTTTGGGAGGTCAAGGTGAGCGGATCACGAGGTCAGGAGATGGAGACCATCCTGGCTAACACGGTGAAACCCCGTCTCTACTAAAAATACAAAAAAATTAGCCGGGCGTGGTGGCAGGCGCCTGTAGTCCCAGCTACTCGGGAGGCTGAGGCGGGAGAATGGCGTCAACCCAGGAGGCGGAGCTTGCAGTGAGCCGGGATGGTGCCACCGCACTCCATCCTGGGCAACAGAGTGAGACCCCGTCTCAAAATAAATAAATAAATAAATAATAATATAACGAACATCGGCTGGGCGCAGTGGCTCACGCCTATAATCCCAGCACTTTGGGAGGCTGAGGCAGATGGATCACGAGATCAGCAGATCGAGACCATCCTGGCTAACACGGTGACACCCCATCTCTACTAAAAATACAAAAAATTAGCCGGGCGTGATGGTGGGTGCCTGTAGTCCCAGCTACTCGGGAGGCTGAGGCAGGAGAATGGCGTGAACCCGGGAGGCGGAGCTTGCAGTGAGCCAAGATCCCGCCACTGCACTCCAGCCTGGGCAACAAAGCCAGACTCTGTCTCAAAAAAATTAAAATAAAATAATAATAATAATATAATGAACATCCATGTGCCCACTACCCAGCCTGAGAAAGAAAACATTATTAATACAGTTGATGCCCCCTTGGGCATCTTTCCTTGATCACATACCCTTTCTCTCCCACTCCCCCAGCCCCCCACCCCATTACCAGCACTGCCAAGGTATAAGCACTATCCTGAGGTTAGTGTTTAATCCCCACACCTCTTTCTACAGTGAGCATTTGACTGCCTTCTCTGCCTCCACCTCTCACCCAGTATTGCTTCCCTTTAGTCTAAAAGTAGCCTGAGCATGAGAAAAGTGTTTATAGTGGAAAGAGAGAAACCCATAGAAAAGTCCTCCCTAGCCTCACAGATTAGCTCACATGAGTATCTGCTCTTCCATTTGCCCCCTTTCCATCTCTAATCACATAGTTTATTGACTGGGAATAAATGGGCTGGTCATTTCAGCCACATGTTGGTTTGGGGCCTGAAGAAAAATATTTTTTTTTCTCACCTCCAAAACACCCATTCCTTCCCATGGAGGCTCCATATCCCAAATAAGAGTATAAACAAAGCTTTGGAAACGCAGGCAGGCCAAACCCTGTGCAGGAGGAAGTGGCCAGAGAGGGAAATCAGTCGCCAATGGATAAACAGCTGGGGCCCAGGGACCAAAGTTCTTATTTACACAGTCTCCCAGCGTTTACCCAGGAAGTGAGGAAGAGACCCACCCGCTGCACACTCCCTCATGCAGCCACGCTTCTGCAGAGCACCAGATCTTGGCACCCTTCAAGTTTAGGGCAGAACCAGAGCTGGTAACTCTTGTAGTCATTGTAGATCTTGAGCTTCAACTGTGTCTTGAGAGTTTACCAGCACGGTCCAAACTGGGCTCTTCTGCTGTCACCCCAGGGCTGCTCCTTCCTCTGCTTTTGGAACTCTTGTCAGTAACAGTGGGTACAGTAGAAGGCTGGGCAAGAGAATAAGTATGCAGGCCCATACTTCCTGCCTCTGACTTCCTGTAGCTCATCGATGTCTCAGCAGTTACTTTTTTTGTTTTTTGTTTTTGAGACGGAGTCTCACCCTGTCGCCCAGGCTGGAGTGCAGGGGTACGATCTCGGCTCACTGCAACTTCCGCGTTTTGGGTTCAAGTGATTCTTCTGCCTCAGCCTCCCAAGTAGCTGGGATTACAGGCTCATGCCTGGCTCATTTTTGTATTTTTAGTAGAGATGGGGTTTTGTCATGTTGGCCAGGCTGGTCTCGAACTCCTGACCTCAAGTGATCCACTCACCTTGGCCTCCCAAAGTGCTGGGATTACAGGCATGAGCCACCACACCCGGCTGGCAATTACCTTTTCTGTAAGAGGTTTGGAGCTATAAAGTTCCTCTAGGTCTGAGTCTACAAGCTCCAGGTGTGCTTTCCTTCCTGTTTTCATTTCATGTGCCTTGTTGTTTGCATATGTTTCCACATTATGTACTACTTGGTACTTTTACCCCATTAGGCTCGAAATAACTTTACTCCAGTTGTCACTGTGAATGTAACAGTAAGACACTGGACTATGGGAGTCAGGACACCGGGACCCTGATTCGGGTTCTGCTACTGCCTGGTTTTATAACCTTGGGCAAATCACTTAACTGCTCGGTATCTGTTCCTCCGCAGAGTGGGGTTGATATCTGTCTTGTCCAGCTCATAGAGTTGTGAGGATCACACGAGGTTGTATATGTGAAAGGACTTAGAAAAGGGCCAGGATATATTTTCACAGGCTTTTAAGACAGACAAACCAGCTGGGCGCGGCGGCTCACGCCTGTAATCCCAGCACTTTGGGAGGCTGAGGTGGGCGGATCACAGGATCAGTAGTTCGAGACCAGCCTGGCCAACATGCGAAACCCCGTCTCTACTAAGAATGCGGAAATCAGCCAGGCGTGGTGGGGGCAGGTGCCTGTAATCCCAGTTACGCGGGAGGCTGAGGCAGGAGAATCGCTTGAAACTTGAGGGCAGAGATTGAAGTGAGCCAAGATTGCATCACTGCACTCTAGCCTGGGCAACAAGAGCGAAACTCTGTCTCAAAAACAAAACAAAACAGACAAACCAAAGCTTGAGGCTTGCATACTGCTTCTGCCATTTACTAACAGTTCACCTCTCTGAACCTGTTTCCCTACTTTTTTTCTTTTTTTTTTTTTTTTGAGACAGGGTCTCTGTCTCGCCCAGGCTGGAGTGCAGTTGCGTGATCTCAGCTCACTGCAACCTGTGCCTCCTGGGTTCAAGCGGTTCTTGTGCCTCAGCCTCCCAAGTAGCCGGGATTACAGGCACCTGCCTCCACACCTGGCTAATTGTTATGTTTTTGGTAGAGATGGGATTTTGCCATGTTGCCCAGGCTGGTCTCGAACTCCCGGCCTCAAGTGATCCTCCTGCCTCAGCCTGCCAAAGTACTGGGATTACAGGTGTGAGCCACTGCGCCAGGCCCTGTCTCCCTACTTATAAGATGGGACCAACTCTTACCTCAGAAGCTTGTGTGAAGATGGATGATCTCGGGTATTTAACGCATGTAGCGCAGTGTCTGACGCATTGTAAGTGCCCAGTGAACAATGTTCTCTGAGTCTCTGTTCTTGCCCCTTGTTTGTCAGCAGGCATGAGGTCCAGAGGGTAAATTTTTCTCCCTCCAGAAACGAACCAACATTTTCCAAGTTGCTAACTGCTTCTTCATATTAGATTTTTGTTAATTTTCTGACCAGGGGGTGAGGTGGGATATCAGTATTGCTTGTTACAGATAATGGGCTAAGACCAGGTGTGCACATGCCTATTGGGAGGCTAAGGCAGGAAGACTGCATGAGACCCAGGGAACATAGTGAGACTCTGTCTCTACAAAAAACAAAAAAAATTAGCCGGGTATAGTGACATGCACCTGTATGTAGTCCAAAGTACGTAGGAGACTGAGGTGGAAGGATTTCTGGAGCCCAGGAGGTTAAGGTCAAGGCTACTGCACGTGAACCATGTTTGCACCACTGCATCCCAGCCTGGGCAACAGAGCAAGCCCCTGGCTCTAAAAAAGAAAAAAATAATGATGGACTAAAGCTCAAAGACGTAAACAACTTGATGCAGTCATATAGCCAGTAAGTAGTAGAGCCTGGACTAGAACCCACACCTCCTGAATTTAAAGTCTATGTTTTTTTCCATCAGCTCATAAATATGTAAACTAAAGGAAATCGTGGAAACTAACCTTTTGCTTATTTCTTTCAAGTCAACGTTGGTGAGGACTGTCCAGTATTCGACGGCCTGTTTGAGTTCTGTCAGTTGTCTACTGGTGGTTCTGTGGGTAAGGAATATTCATCCTCCCCCCAGGGGTAGACTGGGTTGTTCTAGTGAGGTCTGTCTTTTAGGCTGCTATCCTAGTTGGCTGATCTGAAACCATGTAGAATGGTCCTGTGGTTTTTACTTAAGTCTCTAAAGTGGCTGGTGTAATGTCTCACACCTGTAATCCCAGCACTTTGAGAGGCTGAGGAGGAGGATTGCTTGAGGTCAGGAATTCAAGACCAGCCTGGGCAACGTAGTGAGACCCTCGTGTCTACAGAAAAATAAAGTAAAAACAATTAGCTGGGCATGGTGGCTTGTGCCTGTAGTCCCAGCTACTCAGGAGGCTGAGGCTTAAACCCAGTAGGTTGAGGCTGCAGTGAGTCGTGGTCACACCACTACACTCTAGCCTGGGCAACAGAGCAAGACTCTGTCTCCAAAAAAAAAAAAAAAAGTTTAAAAAGTCTCTAAAATATCCTTCTGGTTCAGTCCCAGCCCAAGTTCAATCTCTGACATGGTACTGACAGGTGTCCTTGACTGTCCTCTCCTCCTGGGAGATCTTATGTACAGGAGTTCCCTGCAGACCTCCTGGGGTTGTTAAGATGCTGTATGTAAAAGCAATTTGTGAACTGCAAAGTGCTATAAAAATGGAAGTGTCATCATCTGTGAATCTGTCCTATGAAAAAGTATGGTAATTACCTTTAGAGGTCAGAAATACTCCCCACGTGTCTCCCACTTCCATTTGCAACTTTTGGGTTATCTCCAGGATCACTCTAAACCCTTTCTTAAATATTTATTTCCCTGTGATCCCCCACCAATATAATCATTGTGTCCACCCCCGCTGCCCGGCCAGTATAATCGCAGAAAACAAAGAAGTGCATAGAAAAAAACACAGTCACCCATAGTCCCAGGGTTGATGGATAACCTCTGTCACCATGTTGGTGTTTGGCCATTCTTTGGTGTATGTGTTTATATCTGTATAACACATATACAACATCTACATTTTACAAAAGTAGGTTATATACATATCACATATATATGGTTTTATGCCTGCATTTCCTACTTAACGAAATTGTCTGTAGTTTTCTACAGCTTGCTTTCTTGTGGCTCTATGATTATTCCATGTTGTGGATTTACTTGAGTTGATCTAATCTGTCCCTCTTCTTGATAATTTGGATCTATCTATGCTTTTATTGCTGTTAAAATCAACACTGCAGCCGGACACAGTGGCTCACGCCTGTAATCTCAATCCTTTGGGAGGCCGAGGCAGGTGGATCACCTGAGGTCAGGAGTTTGAGACCAGCCTGGCCAACATGGTGAAACCCCATCTCTACTAAAAAATACAA